TCCTCCCACTCTAACTCTCCTGCCTCCCTCTTTCTCTTACAAGAACTTTTGTGATCACAATGGGCCCATCAGGACAATCTCCTGAAGACCCTTAACTTACTGATATCGAAAGAGTTCATTTTGCCATATTAAGTAAAATACAGGTCTCAGGGGTCAGGACATGGACAGTTTAGGGTGCCATTATTCTGTCTACCACTCAAAGCATATCCTCCAAGTTCAATATAAATAAGAAAAAAGCCAACAATAAAAAATCTTATATGTAGTTCCTTAATCATGGTGATAGTTTCACAGGTATGTGCCCAGGTCCAAACTTCTCTAATTATATACAGGGTACAACAAAAGAAGGTTTACAATTGTAAGTACACAAAACACAATTTATTCTTACACTATTATTTATTATTGTATTATTTTCCATATAAATAACTGTAAACCTACCTTTGCCCTATCCTGAATAGTAAATTTGTGTAGTTTTTGTATATTAACTATGCCTCAATAAAGCTGTGAGAAAACTCATATATTTGGAAAATAAGACATACTTCTAAATAAGAAATAGATCATAGAAGAAATCACAATGGAAATTAGAAAATATTTTAAACTAAGTCATACTTAAAATTCAACATAGCAACTGACAGGATGCAGGTAAAGCTATGCTTTGAAACAAATTTATGGCTTTAAATATATATATGTGTGTGTGTATATATATATAATAAAAGAAGATGAAAACCATCAAATAGATATCCCAAGAAATTAAGGAAAATAGCAAATTAAACAGAACGTAGTAAAAAAAATAAATAAATGAGATTTACAAGCTTACAAAAAAACTACAATGTCAAGAGTTTTTAAAGACTAATAAAATTAATATATATATATGAGACTAATAAAAATGTACACAAATGGGAGATATAATTACATATCCTCTTAACATTAACAATATAATCAGATTATGTTCAGCTTCACACCAATAAATTTGAGAAATATAATAATATAGACAAATTTCTTTTGTCAACACTTTAACAGAATATAGTAAAGAAGAGATAGATTAAATAATCCAACACTTAACTGTTAAAGACACAGAAATTATATTCTAAAATTCTCCCACAAAGAAAACACCAAGCCCTCTTATCTTCAACAACCACTCAAATATTTCAAGAACAATTAGCAACAATTATACACAATTACTCCAGAGAGTAGAAGGAGAATACTTCCCAACTTAATTTATGAAGCCAGCTTAACACTGCTAACAAATTCTGACAAATGCATTATGAGAAAGGAACATTACAGGACAGTATCACCTGTGGACAGATTAGCAAAGATACTAAGAAAATGCTATTGTTACCATAGATGGAGCGCCAGGGAGTATCCCCCATTGGCTGAGATGGTAGGAGGGGAGGTTCTTACACTGAGCTCGCCAAAAGCTAGAAATATAAATGAACAGGACCTGAAACTCCAAAAGCTAGAAAGAGGAATGGATAGGGCCCCAAGCACAGGAAAGCCAGAAAGATGATTGGATAGGACAAAAAGTCCTCCCCTCCCTACCCTTCCCTGTAAGAACCTCAGCTCCAGCAGGAAGATGGAGTTGTCTTTGAAACAGGGGTCCACCATTCTCCCGTCATGTGGCACCTGGATAAAATCTCTTTTCTTTTGTACCCGCACCTGCCTCACCAGTTTGGTTTTTGTTGCAGCAGGCAGACAAACCTCTGTTTTGTTTGGTTATATTATCACACTGAATCCATCTATTTATCTACCTGTCAGTATACTTAAATATATATTCACTTGTGTATATCTACGTATGTGTGTGTAAATATGTATATAGTACCATGTGACCAGCGAGTTTATTCCTGCAACAAAAGGTTGGTTTCACATTCAAAACACAATGTCATTCTCCGTATCCACAAAATAAAGAATCATATCATCATTTCAACTGAAGCAAAAAAACTTCTGGACAAAAACTCATTCCCTAGGATATTGAAAAAACGTAGCCAGCTAGTGAATCAGCATTGTGAATTCCTTTGCTGCCATACAAATGACTGCAAACTCAGCTGTTGAAACAGCACAAATGGATCACCATGGAGCACTGTAGGTTAGACCTTCAACACAGGCCTTGCAGAGCTACAATCCAAGTGTCTATGGGCTGGGTGCTGCCCTGGAGGCTCAGAGGGAGAGTCCATTTCCTTGTTTTATCCAGCTGAGGCTGTTCTATTTTTTGGCTCATGTACCCCTTTCTACACTTTCTCTGACTCTCCTTCCATCTTTACATTTTTCTGACTGACCCGAGCTGAGAAAGGGGTCTCAGATATTAGTATTCATGTGTTTAGATTAGACCCCCCTGAAAGATATGGGGGGTCTCCCTGCCAAAAATCTTTAATATTGATCACATCTGCAATGTCCCTTTTGCCATGTAAGGTTATGAGGACTTGGATTTTTTTCTGGTGGGGGGAGCATTATTGTGCATATCCCAACTAGGAATGAAAAAAACTCTTTAATCTTACAAAGAGTACTTACAAGTATTCACACCAAATATTGCACTTATTATTGAACTATGAACAGCTTCCACTTTGCAGCCAGGAATATCACAGGAGGTCCTCAACAGTCACTTGTTAAAGTTTGTACTAGAGGCTCTAAGTGATTCAGCAAGTCAAGAGAAGATATAATATACAGGTTAGCATGAAAATCTTGTTATATTTGTGAGTGATATGTTTGCACATATAGAAGATCCAAAAAAAATCAATGAGCAATTATGAGGATTACTAAGTGTTTGTAAGACTTTGGACACGTGATCCATTTACAAAAAATATATATTTCTGTATACCACTAACAAACTAATAGAATATGGATTTGTATACCATACCATTGACATTGTCATAAAATGTCAAGTAACAAGGAGAAATTTAACGAAAGATCTTCCAGAGAAAACATTACTGAGAGAGAGAGAGAGAGAGAGAGAGGTGTTTATTTAAGAAACTGACTCACACAATAGTGGAGGGTGGAAAGTTTGAAATCTGCAGGACAGGCTAGCACACTGGAGACCCGGGGAGGAGTTACTGTAGGCAGCTGCACCCAAAGGCATTCTGGAGGCAGAATTCCCTCTTCCCCTCAGTCCTTTCTCTTAAGGCTTTCAACTGATTGCATGAGACCTGCCAACATTATAGAAGGTAACCAGCTTTACTCAGTGTCTATTGATTTAAAAATACCTTTAGAGTGGCACCTAAGGTTCGTGTTTTACCAACAGCTAGGTACCACAGTTTAGCCAGGATGAAACATAAAAGGAACCACCACACTAGCCTTGACGTTTACAGCACCTAAGATCTGTCATATATACTGAGGGTTCTGCAAGCTGTAGTTCCCCCTGGCCTATGTGAGAAGAGCCTCTTTACCTTCAATAGATTCTCATCTACCCCATTTGGAGCTCTGCCTCGTTGGGAGTCTGCTTCAGAGGCACATCCTCAGGGATGGGCTGTGTCTGCAAAGGGAGTTCAACCCCAGCAAAGAGGCCCTTCCTGGACTGTCCCACATGAATGCTTCCTACATTCCCTGGCTTTCCTTCTTCATTAATCTCAGCTAACATGTCCCTCTGATGAAAATTATTGAAGTGAGGAAGCAAAAGAGTGATTGTAAGGAAAATACAATGTGGGAGAACATTTGTAAAGGAGGCCCATTGTGACCGGGATGAGGTGAAATGAAAGCATTGTTCTTGAGCACATGGAACAGACACAAAGAAGGCCAAGGATCCCGACAATAGCTGCAGCTGTAAGTGAGAAATGACATGAATGACGCTAAGTTCAAAGAAATGAGGAGGGAGGTGCTGGAGCAGAATAAGTTGCAGAGCAATTTAGAAAGATACTTCTAGAAACCGGAAGCGTGTATCTAGATGTCGATTCTGAATCGAGTCTATGACAGCAAACGTGTAACTCCCAGAACTCTGATTTTTCCCACTCATGCCAGAGATGATCTTCCTGGCCTGCCCTCTGTCATGCAAAAAAGATGAACAAACTCCACAATGTCAGATGTCACGGGCTAAGGAACAGATTTAATCGATTAAAGAGAAATGTCACAATGTCACTGTCAGAAAGACTGAGTCTCCCTCCCATCCCAGGGAGAGAAATTCCAGGGTCGGAACCATCTTCTGGACACAGTTTGGGTCCTATTCTAATGGAGGAAACTCTTCTCATGTGGGTCTCGCTGTGCGCCTCATGCTGTGAGACAAGTGTACGAAAGTGGTCATATCAATAGTGACATAGGCAGACTGGTAGTGTCAGGAAGTCTGACATGGTTGGGGATGCCAGCTATTTACAGGAACAGTCTGGAGTTGACACATTGCCCTGGACTGGGGACTTTGGGTAGCTGGGGATCTTCAGCATCTGTGGTACATTAGCATTTCCCCTGAAATGAATCACAAAAATCTTTAAGTCACCCAGTGCTAGAGCCTCACTTCTCCACCATCCAGAGAGGCTCATCTCTGGTTGGTTGTGGCCCTTAGGGAAGCCCAGGCCAGCCTGGCTCCCTAACCAATTTTTTTAATGTCTCTTCATGAATGTAGTATAAGAGCATTGAGCAGATGTGTCCTAGAACTGTGACCTTAAGTCTGCCACAGTTGCTGGATTCTCTCACCTCCAGAGGCTATGGGAAGAAGGACTGAAATGAGGCTACAAACAGCTGCACAGACAGGTGTAGCATGATGAGAAATGAGAAACCACTTCTGTAAGCTCAGGAAGAGCTAAGTATCTATTGAGGTCCTGGTCATTCGGAGAAACTCTAGTACTGGGCACACGAGGAGAGATAAACTAACTTCTCTCCCAGACTCAAACACTGTAGTGAATGTTGACTTTTTCCATAGAAAAACAAACGAGCTCAACAAGGAAAGATCATGAGTGAAAAGGGGTAATAGAGCGAGTAGTCATGTGGGTTGGCATGGCAGCTCTCCCGCTCCCTGGATCTGCATATAAAGAGTATAGGGCGCCGGAGCCCTACTTCTCTGGGACAGCAGATCTGCCTCCTCCAGCATGCAATCCCTGCAGTTCCTGTTGAGGGCCAGCCATGCCGCCCTGCTCTTGGTTTTCTGTCTGCAGCTGGGGACCAACACAGCTCAGGAAGACACGTGAGCCATGCCTTTCTCCTTCTCTCTCTCACACACACAAATAATCTTTGTGGGGAGGGCTCCTCTCCTATCCTGGAAATCTATGTACCCCTTCCTGAAAACTTTTTTAACTTCCCAGGAATCGAATCTCATGAACCTATGCGCATTCCCACCTCTCTCCTCTTAGGAGGCCCGTTAATTCCCCTCACATCTCCACTGGGTGCTTCTGAGTTGCTCATGGACATAAGGCTCCCAGTACCCCTAATGTAGGCTGCAACTAACCATTAGTCTTTCTCCAAGCCTCTGACCTACACACTGTGCTGTTCATAATCTACATCTTTGTTATACTTCTGCTTGGTAAACTTCACCTCCTCACACCCTGCCTCCTGGATAGGAAGATTTGAGCAGGTCTGTGAGTTCCGACAGTAGCTTTGAGCACCTTTGGCAGGACTCACTGAGTTGATCAGAGGCCCTGAGCACTGATCCTTGGCCCCACGGTCCAAGGCTGAGCTTACCTAGAAGTTTAGGCATTCTTCCTATGCTGAAATCCAAACACAAATGTGAGGACCACTTGTTCATGGCATCCCCTGCCGCCAAGCGACCTGGGAGCAAATAATCATAGGCCAACTCATTGAGGGTATGTGTTTGAAGGAAGCAGAAAAATTGGGGCATGCAAAAATGCAGCAGTAAATGGGACAATTTGGAGGGAGAAGCAGGGTCGCTCATCAAATCTAGGGAGTTTTCCCTATAAAAAAGAAAAGTTTTGGATGCTGGGTTTCTGGACTGCGATTCTGCTGGTGCCCTCTGTGACAGGACCAGATGCTTCATCCTGCAAGAAATCTTCCATGGCTTGACAAGCTGATTTAATGGAGGGGGAGGATGGGTGTCCCCCCTGAGAGGGACAACTTCAGGTACAATGTCACTCCACTTAGCCCTGAGAGGTGGCAGATTGTTGATAAGCTGTGCTAATCAGGCTGACCAGCCACCCCAGTTTGCCCACAAGTTTCTTGGTTTTAGCACTGAAAGCCCCCCACCCCAGCAAACCCATCCTTATTGGGCACACCGGAAGGTGGGTCACTCTAGCTATGCTGGTCATCCTATCAGTCCTAAATTCATGTAGGGATGGGTAGAATGTACAACTCTCCCCTGCCTGCTGAGCACCAGAGCAGCTGGCAGAGAGGCAGAGTCTCTATGGAATCAGATATTTTCTCTAAAAAGTGCGGCTGGGAAGATCAGGGGCCAGGGACCAAGCAACAACCTCCCTCTTGCTTTCCCATCAGCAAAGGGAAGAAGACAGTGACAGCGCTGGTCCTGAGGCCTGCCCTTGCTGGCTGACAGGGAAGACCTGAGTGTTCCCTTTGTCTCTGGGCCCTTTTCCCTATCAGACAGAATGCAGGGTGGGGTATACAGTTTCCAAATAAGGCTCTGTGTCCAAATCCCCTACAGAGCTAAATAAATACAAATCCTATGCCCTGCCAGGAGCCAAAGAAGGGGGATCATCAAGAATGGTTTCTCCTCTAGTGCATTGAGTTGTTTGTGATTCTGTTGGGACAAAAATTCTCCACTAATGGTGACATGAGCCCTCCTGCTCAGTGGCCAATCAGCAGAACCTATAGAATTCTATTAGGAGATGTCATGTGGCATTATACCTTTATTGTTTCTATAATATATTTTTTGTCAGTGGAAGGAAAAATGATACTCAGTTTTAAATAAAGTATCCAAGGTGCTTTATTTAAGCAAAACTAAATCAGTACGAACTAACCAAACTACCTAAAAATCAAAACTGCCCAGGGGGTTCTGATGTCCCCAGCGAAACATCTCCTCCTTGCATTGTCCCAGTCCCTCAATCCTGCTCATTGTGCTCTCTCTCTGATGGACTGACCTCTGCTCTCCACCTGCTTCTGTCCTTCCCAGAGCCACTCGACAGTCGATTTTAATGGACTTCCAGGTGCCCCAAGTGACAAGGTCAAATGAAGAAGTCACCGGGAAGCTTGTAGTTCAAACGGAATTGAAAGAATGTATGGTGGTATGTAGCATCCCTGGGGAGGGAGTAAAGTGAAGAGAAAGCTTACTCCTTAATTAAGGAAAGTGCATTGGGTTATATAGGAAAACTATGAGACTGAAGGGCAGTGATAAAATTATTAATAACAAACTCGTGATACAGTAATATATATGTGTGTGTCTTTATCCACACATTAGCTAAAAAGGTAATACATTTGTAATGGGATGTTTACATTTTATTTTATAAAGATTATCTCTGTGGTGGCTGGGGTTGCTTAGCTTGATTGAGGGCCCTCAACTGGGTACTGTCTTGGATAACACATCACACGTGTCATCCTAGACAGCCCTGATCTTTTGTTTGGATTTTACAAGAGTCAAAAAATGTTGAATCATGAACATATATTGTTGTCAGTGTAACAAAAAAGATAAGCAAATCAAGGTTAAACTTCTCTAACAAAACACCAGCATCTCCAAAGCATTTTGAGTAAAACTGCAGTGGTGAGAACCCTTGAATTCACTGTCTGAGGCTAAGGGGCTATTCGGTGGAGAGTCACCAGCCAGTGGCCCCAGGCAGGTTTCAGGAGACAGACAGCCAGCCCCTGACATGCCCAGGGAGCCCAGTGATAACCCCCCTGTACCTGGCGTAGCGATGAGAGCAGGCACTGTTCTGAGATCTATGAATGTGTAATGCAGCACAACAAGTCTGTGTTTCTCCTTGTGATAAAATCACTCACTGTTAATGCCACTGTAGATCTCTGATGATGTTCACGGCAGAAGGAATACTCCATTTCAGTGGGAGCTCAGGAAAATAAAGATACAATTTCTTTCTGTCTGAGTTCACAGACTCGCTGACTTCTATTCACAGACCCCTTGGGTTAACCCCAGGATTAACCCCCCTGTGCTGAACATGAACTAGAACACGAACCAGATGCTGCTGAAACATACAGAGACAGTGCTCTGGGATTGTAAGTTGTAAAGCACTCTCAGGTTAAAGAAGATCGAAGCAAGCATACCTTCAAGGTTGCATTTGCTCATCTCACAGCCAGGTTGGGCAGCAGTTAGTTGTTCTCACACAACTGAGGAAAGCGAATATGACAGGTATCATGTTCATTACCGAAGGTCACCAAGTTTGAGAGGAGCACGGTGGAGGTCACAGTGCTGCAACAGGGCTGGCTTCGGCTTTCTCCCCCAATCAGTCTGGCTGCGGTCATGGGCAATTCGTGAAGCCCTGGCTGCAAACCCAAGCAAGCCTGCCCCCCAGATGGCCTGAGCCCAGGACGAGTGCTCCTGGACCCAGGGATTCACTCACCTCTGCCCTCCTGAGCCAGACACCCATGTGAGTCTATAGCACTGTGAGCACAGCACAGAAAACCTTCTGACCTAGACTTCAGCTCCTGAAATGATTCTACAAACGATCTCCTGTGCCTCTCCCCACCTCCATCCCTGCTCTTTGCCCACCAAGGGCATCCTTCTTCTCTCCTTTGACCCTTCCTCATCTTTCTTTCCCTTTCCTGCTCCCCATGCTAATACTAGGTCATCTTTCTCCACCCCCTCCTCCCAGATTAAAACTTACCTGGCAAGCAGCAAGCCGATTGATGGACCTTTTAACTATAGATACACTGCCTGCCTGTGTAACGATTATCCAAGAACCTTCTACTGGGACTTTCAGGTCAACAGTAAGTACAGGAGTTATTCAGGGGAAGACCTGCCCATCAGAGAGGAGAAACCGTAGAGAAGCATGGCTCCAGATAAGGTGCAGAAGGATGGAGCGGGCAGGGGGTAGGAGAAAGGGGGCAGAGTAGATGGAGACCATGCTAAGAAGGAAAATACATTTGCAAATCATTTGAGGAAACTGAGTCCCAGTGGGAAGGTACCTGCAACCTGTAGAAAGGTTAGGACACTGGAGGTTAGAGTGCCATTGGAGACCATCTTTGTCCTTGTTTCTTCCAGGTACTGTAAGGATGGCTGCTGTGGTTGATGTCATTCCTCAGTTGGGTATCTGCCCCAATGACGAGGCAGTGGTCCCCATCAAAGCAAACCGTTTCACTCTCCTGAGGACCCTGTTTGTTGTCTGAGCTGGCCGGAAGCCTCACCTGACTGCCCCGCACCCCACCTTACCCCCCCTCCCCGGGGTGGTTTTCTCTGAGGGAGCTTGGCTGGGGTATGCGATGTGGTCTGTAAAATAAACTTCTCACAGGCTGCACTATGTTCTATTGTGTCTTCCCTCCAAAATCTCTCCCAGAGAAGCCTCAGAGTGCCCAGACTTTCTAGAACTCTCTTTCTTTGAAGAAACTTTGCTGAGGAGAGCTTATGAGTTCCCACTGTCCATGAAAGAGGGAGAGAAGAAGGAATAGAGAAGAGCAGGGCCAGTCTCACAGAGAGGAAATACTGGCCCTAAAACCCAGCCCTTGAGGGGTGGGAACTGGACCAGCATCCAAGCCTCCCTGCTCTTTGGTTTTCTATGTCCCATTGTCCCCCCAAAGAGCCCCTGTGGATCCCAGGATATGGGAGTTAGCTGCATATAGCAGAGTTGGGGGCAGAGTCTGTGGCCCCCAAGATAAATGATAAGTGTTCTACCTATTGTCTTGCTTCTTTTCAAACAGCGAAAAATGATGGACTAAGTGATGCTGGGGGACATTGGGCTGCATAGCAGGCACAGTGAGTGGAAGAGCAGAGTAGGCCAGAGGGGGTGCTTCCTGAGTCAAAGTCATGGGCATAAAGGGGCAGAGGGCATCCGGGCAGATAGAGGAGTAGGCACCAAGAGCCCAAAGCATGCTCAAGGCAGGTAAGAACCTTGACATTGGGCAAGATTAATAGGCAAGCCAGATGGCCTGGAGAGGAGGCTGACAAGGAGACAGGAACAAAGTCAGTTTGTAGGGGCAAGAAGATGGGGCCCTAGCTTTTAGACCACTGAGCCTGAAGGGGTATCAGATCCAGCACAAGGAACAGCCATTGGGAAAGATCACTTCATATACTCAGTAGCAGTATTGATTATATGTCTAAGATGTGGCAAAAATGCACTGAATATTTTCATTTATATCCTTTATCACAGGCCCTCTTAAAAACTACTACATATATATATATATACACACACACACTCATACATATATACCTACTCATATATACATGTACACAATGGAATATTATTTACCCACAGAAAAGAAGGAAATCCTGCCATGTGTAACATGGATGAAATTTCAGGACTTTATGCTAAGTGAACACAGACAGCAAAAGGCTGCTGCTGTAGGACATCACTGTAGATGAGTTCTACAAAAGCTGAACTCATGTCTACAGAGTCGAGCAGTAGTCACTGGGGATGGTCTGTGGGGGAATTAGGTAGGTGTTGGTCAAAGTGCACAAACTTCCAGTTAAGGGATGCATAGTTCCAGGTATCTAAGGTACAGCATGGTGACTATAGTTAATGCTACTTGGAAGTTGCTAAGAGAGTAGATCTTAAATGTTTTCCCCCCAAAAAGAAATGGCACTTCTGTGAGGTGATGGAGGTGTCTGCTAACTCTATATGGTGATAATCACATCATACTCCTTAATCTTACAGAATGTTTTATGTGAATTATATCTCAATAAAGCTGGGAAAATATTAAAGCTAAACAAAACTTTAAAAACCACGTGCATTAGGTATTGATTTATTCAATAAGTAACTAGCAAGTGCCCTCTGTGCCTGCTTCAGGTGCTCTGTTTCCATCTTATGAGCAGTAACACGAGTTGCAAAGAACCACACACTTTGCCTTCACGTCTGGTGATTCACCCGAGCAGCTCTTCTCCAGGTCTCCTCCTGTTGAATAGTCTAGTCTTTTTCCTACCAGGCCCCTGACCAACCAGCCAACAGACTTGCTGTTGTTCAATCATCTGTGTATATTACTTCAAATCACATTTCCCTGTGTACAAAACTGATGACCAGGCGTACTGCTTACAACTCTGCCCACTGAGGGTTCTTCCCCACCCCCTCCCCCACCCCAGTTGAGTTTCCTGGAACACTCCTGAGTGAAGTTTCCATGTGGCAATGGTCCATCTTTAACTCACAGCAACATGCTGAGCCAACTCATCTGTAAGCCACTCCTATTTTTTTTCCTCTGAAACCTAGCCAAGGGGAATTCATCCACCCATGAGGCTGTAGGTCCAAATGGAAGAGCATTAGTGCAGCAAAAGTAGTTGACATGAAGTGTGAACCACCACTTTCTCTATAACTTAAGCCCTCTGGACCAGGTTGGGTCCGATCTTAGCTGTGCTACTTCCATAGTATGATGGATTGCTGCCGTAACACCCAAATATATAATCTGTAGGTCTGACAATTCCTCACTCATGATGGCAGACTCTGATCCCATGGTTGCTTGGTGTTTATGACCAGGTTGGGACTTTATAGTACCCCTGTACTCTTAAAAAAACAAACAAACAACGAATAGTTCTCTGAAGCAGATGGTATTGCTTTGCTCAAGAATCCTATTGGTCTACTCTGTAACTTGGCCCCTGGGGCTTTCCCAGAGACTGCACTTGAAGTCTTTAATCTAATAATTCTAATTAGATCTCATAAACAATGATAGTGCAAGAGAAGAAAGTAAAAAATAAATCTCACTTTGCCCAGTTTTTAACTACATTGTTTGCTTTTCAGTGTTGAGTTTTATAGGTTCTTTGTAAATTTTAGATATTAACTCCTTCTCAGATGTATTATTGGAGATATGTTTTAAGAATGGCTATCATCAATACATCAACCAACACTGAGTGCTGGTGAGGACGTGGAGAAAGGGGAGCACTTTTGCACTGTTGGGAAAGCAGACTGGTGCAGCTACTGCAGAAAGCAGTATAGAGTTTCCTCAAAAAATGAAAAATAGATCTTCCTTAAGACCCAGAGATTCCACTTCTCAGAATACATCTGAAGAAGCCTGAAATACTAATTTGAAAGCATAAGTGCAACCCTACATTTGTTGTAGCATTACTTACAATTGCAAAGATTTGGGAGCAACCTAAGTGCCCATCATTAGATGAGTAGATTAAAAAGCTGTGATTTATTTACACAATGGAATACTACTCAGTTATAAAAGGGAAGAAAATTTTACCTTTTGCAACATCATGGATGGACCTGAAGAAATTATGCTAAGTGAAATAAGCCAGTCAGATAAAGGCAAGTACCATATAATTTCACTCATATGTGGAATCTAATGATCAAAATGAACTAGTAAGCAAAATAGAGACAGACTCACAGATGAGCACAGAATAATAGCTGTCAGAGGGAGAGCTAGGTGGGTAGGTTTATAAAGGGAGTGAGCAAAAAAAAAAGAAGAGTGAAAAAACTCATGGACTCAGATGAACGCAGGGAGGAAGTGATGGGTGGTTGAGGAGGGTGTAGGGGACTAAAGAGTGATGGAAGAAGACTGGACTTGGGGTGGTGAACACACAACAGAGTGTATAGATGACGTGTTGTGGAATTGTGCAACTGAAGCCTGTATAAGTTTGTTAACCAGTGTCACCCCAATAAATTCTATAAAAAGGAAAATAATAAATCTCGCTAAGGTATGTAGATGCAAAAGTCTAAATAAATATTAATGAATTAAATTCATCAGTATATAATTTTAAATATGTTATGATTCCAACAGACACTGCTAGTTTTCCCTCAATAGTCATCTTTCTCTGTATCCAGTTGAATAGTGTTTTTAACCAGACACATAATTACTTACAAAGAAATTGCATTTCCAAGCAGATAAATGTTTCAGTATAACTAAATTCTATCAATAGTATGCAAGAAGAACTGTTACGTGGTAGTTCATAGGAGTTATTTTAGGGTCACATCAACACCTTTGTCTCTTTTTTTTCTTCTACGCTACCACTCTGCATGCAAATACAAATGTGACTGCCACCCTGAATTATAGGCTGAGGGCTACACCGTAGAGATGGAAGAACAATGAATGAGCCAGAAAAAACTGTCCCTGAGGACTTTGTGTAGCCTTTCATATTACTTCCAGATTTTCATATAAAACAGATGAAATTTCTATCTTGTTTCAGCATTGTTTGCTATCACTGTTTTTGTTATTATGTGGAAAAAGCCTTTAAATAAAATGTTTTTAAGAACTGTAAAATGTCAAAGGGAAGATTTTTTTTAACATAGCATATCTGAACCAATTACAAAATACAACTACAGGATTTTTATTTTGGGAAAATGTTTATTATTCTTTCATTGCTTTTACAATGTTAAAATAAAACATCTATGCAAAATATTAAATTCAATAGTCATTGCCAAGTAGTGGGATTATGAGTCCTTTTTATTTTTTATTTCAAAATGTTTACTTTTCATACACAAGAAGTAATCATTATTAATATCGAAACTATACTTGACCCAATCATATATTTTCATAGAATTCCTATATGTAAGCAGAGTTGTTGGCGTGCACATTGTGGAGAAAAGAAACACAGAGCTTACCATGTGTTGGATCTCTAGAGTGTAATACATGTGGCACACAAACCTTGATACCCTTGCAGAACTCAGTCTAGATTATCATTTGCATGTGGATTTGGTAAGAAAGAAAAATGGAAGGAAGGGATGGAGGGACCAAGGAAGGAAGGAGGGAAGGAAGGAAGGAAGATCCTTCTGCTCTTTACCTCAATCTGAGAGGAGTGACTGGGCAAGCAGTTTCTCTGGCAGGAAACAGAATCCCCAGGAGGAAGAAGCTCCCCTGAGATGTCGAAGCGATTTCTGCTGAAAAGAAGCTGCTCTGACTTTTCCCCAAAACCTCTGCTCACAGTGGAACAGATGTGGAAAGTATGAACAAATCTGCAGGATTCACACTGTCCTATTTCAGAACTTACTATAAAGTTACAATAATTAATAGTGTGTTCTTAACAGAAGGGTAGACCCATAGATCCATGAAACAGCAGAGACAGTGGAGAAGTAGTCCCCACACAGATACGGACGGCTGATTTTTGACAAGGGTGTCGAGGCAATTCAATGAAGTAGGAATACTTCTCTGTCAACAGAAGATTCTGGAACAACTGGTGATCCAAATGCAAAACAAACAAACAAACAAACAATAACCAAAACACCTGAACACATCCCTTCAAGTGGTAAATCAAACTAAATAGGGAAAGTAAGATTATAAAACTTCTCAAAAATGTAGGAAAAAACGTTGTGGCCTTGGATCTGGCAAAGATATAACATTAAAAGCATGATTCCTGAGGTGGTACATATCAGGGAAAGCTGCATTCAGGGTGTAGAGGAAGTGTCTATATCATCTTTACATCTGTAGGTCAAAACTTATTTCAAAATTAGTTTAAAGCATTACAAAGTAAACGGGGCGTGTTTAAGTCAGTCTTTCTGTCCTTATTGGTTCCTGGGTTTTCCTCTGCTAGAAATGCACTTGAATGCACCCAGAATGTATACAGACAACTGGATGGGCTATTTAGGTGTCAGTCCCCAAGGTCTACTTCAAAAAGTAGTCTATTCACCTAAACAGATTTCTTCATCCCACTTCAAGCTGCCCCTGGGAATTCCCAGCAACAACATTCTTTCCACAGAGGAACACAACTCAGCCCTAAGCTCTGACAAGCAGAGACTCTTCTGGAATGCCTCTGATGATGCCCATGACCCCTGTCCCTGCCACCTCCCTACCATGGCCCCTCAACACTGTGAACCCTCTACCCCTATGACTGAGGTTATTCCAGTCCTGTATACTGCTCCTCTGCCCTGTCTCCCAGCAGTGTTTCTCACACAGAGCGAGAACTGCTGTGCTCTCCCCTCAACCTCAACTTCATGCTCCCACACTTGATTCAAGATCCACAGGGCTGTGAAACTGCCCTTTCTCTGTGAGCCCCTCAGTATAAAGAACTTCTCTGTGCTGAGGGTCATTGACACCACTATTCATTAACCAGCCAGCATCTGTGTGCTGCCTTGTGGGGGTTGGGCACTGCACTAGGATCTGGGGATGGGATACAGTGATGAGCAAAACAAATGAGAGAAGCATCAGACTCCAAGGGACCCTATGTCATTCCCCCAAGGGACCCGTGGAAACCTGGGTGGCCAAAGTGGGGGAGAGACAGGGACCAGAAAAAGGCTCTCTCAAACCAGACCTGAGGTCCTGAGACACTCCAGGTTTGCTTGTACAGCATGTGGGAATCACCAAAGGAGAACAGTTGTTTATTACACTGTGTTCAAGGGAAATATTTGCAGTTCAGGATTAAAAAGTTAAAGACAAGATGGTAAGAGTCATAATGTGAAAAGCGAGTCATAATGTAAATGTAGCCGTTTTAAAATAGAGCCATGGCTCTATTTTAGGGAAGACTGTGTGTCATCATGTGTCCCATGCTTATACTTTTATATCAGAAACACCTCCACCAAGATAAAGGCATTACAGAGGAACTGCGTTGCTGGTCTCACTCCTCAGAGCCCTAGAACGTGTGAACTAGACAAAATAACCTAGGACTGAGCCAGCCAGCACCATATTCCCAACACCTGTCTGTAAAGCTTGCAAGGGACAGACCTCCTGACCAACAGCTGATTGCCCACATTCTTCATGATTAGCACTGCTGGGGATAGCTAAGGAGTAACCTAGCTTATCTTCACTAAGGAATGCAGTCCTTGGCTCATTAACACCAAGAGAAATCCTTTCCTTCTACTCATGTGATTATTTTCCTTCCTTTTCTCATAACACGCCCCCCCCCCGCCTCCACCCTGTAATGGGAATACGATTTGGGGTAACTGTTTCCCAAATAGCTACTCTTTGACCTCACACAAACGCTTATTGCCTCCCACTTTGGCGTTCTATTCTTAAGGTAGTAACAACTTGTCTAAAACAGTTCATGGGGCCAGAAAGCCATCAAGTCAGTGTTTGCCTTGTTGTCAAGGGAAAAACCAAACACTATGAAAATTTTCAGAGACATCTTACTCACCAGCCTTCCTGTTATTAGAATTACTTTATTATCGTTAATTATGTACAGTCATAAAAGTTTGTTTACTCTGCATAGGGAAGACTGTGTATTATCATGTGACCCATGCTTACACTTTTATATCAGAAGCACCTCCCTCCACCAAGATAAAGGCAACCCATGTTTCATCTCTTGGTTGTAATATTCCAAAATATGTTGGGTGGCCTTTGGGGGTTGGTTTTTTACCTTAATGATGGTTAGGCTATACTGGGAAAACATTAGGGAATTTTTTCTTCAACCATTATTTTCCTAGTTTTTTTTTAATGAAAGGTAAATGTATGTGTGTAATTATTTATATTAATATATAACAAAAGATATTTACTATTCCTCAAGTACTTTATTTTGCAAAGAAATTCACCTCTTGAAAATTAGTATCTCTGGCAATTTTGTGATTTATGATAAATATATGTATAATGTTTGGTCTTCATCCTTCTTTTTGGCATAGAGCTCCTAAAAACTCTTGGATTTCCTAAGCAGTGAGTGACAAAAAGTTATATTTTGCAATGTTAATGAGATGACTTTGGACTGCACCCAAGGATGGGTGCTGGTTACCAGAAGGACCAACACTGTGATCGGAGGGTTAGAAGAGTCAGTCCCACCCATCCCCCCCACCTCTGGGGACCACAAAAGGGCTAGAGACTGAGTTGAACCACCAATGGACAGCAACTTAATCAAACATGCCTGTGTAAAAATGCCTCCACAAAGACACAAAAGGACCGTGTTCTGGGGGCTTCTGGGATGGTGAACATATGCAGAGGTGCTGGGAAGGCATGGAAGTGCCATACTCCTTCCCACAGACCTAGTCTTACGCCTCTCTTCCATCTGGATGCTCATCTGTATCTTTTATCACATCATTTTCTAACACATCAGTAAACGGAAGTAAACTTGGGTTCTGTGAGCCACTCTAGCAAATTAATCAAACCCAAGGAGTGGCTCATGGGAGCCTCTGATTCACAGTTGGTGAGTCTGAAGCACAGGGTGACAACCTGGACTTGCAGGTGGCATCTGACATGGGGTGGGGACTGTCTATGGTACTGAGCCCTTAACCTGTGGGATCTGACACTACCTCCAGGTAAATGGTGTCAGAATTGAATTAAATGGTAGGACACCCAGAATCACTTGGTATTGGGAGGGGGAGACCCATATATTTGGTGACCAAAATGTCAGAAGTGAAGTGCCTGTGTGAAGTGTAAAGAAAGTCTTTACAACTGGTGAAAAACTGTTTATTTTTTCAGCTCAAGTGTTCTCCCCTTAAATAGTGAAACATCATAAAAGACTATCAGGAAAAAATGATACAGTCATGTCAGCACTGCATTTAGTCTTTGGAATGCACACACACACACTATTCCATAGGTCTAGGTAGGATAATATAGCCTTTGGGACCAGCTGGCTCAGGGACAAATCCCAGTTCTATAGCTCTCTGGGTCTGTGACTTTGGACAAGTTAGTCAGTCTCAGTTTCCTCATCAGGAAAGTAGAGATAATAAAAGTACATTCTTCATAGAATTGTTGTGAGGCTTAAATGTGATAGTATATATAAATGTGATGTTTAAACAGTACTTAACACATCATAAGAAATATACAGTCACACCTCAGTACTCGTCAGCTTCAGAACTCACCAAACCCTATATACATTGCATTTTTTTCAGCACTCGGCGCTTGCTTGGGACTCATTGCCCTTGCTAGAACGTTTATGAGTCACCATGCCACCCCTACAAGAGAAAATGCTTCATCACTCATCACTTGAAAAAATTTCATTTGGTATTCATTGGTTTCAGCACTGGGCACGAATTAGAGTTCTAGAATGAGTTAACAACAAGTACTGATGTACCACTGTCTGTGTCTTTAAAGTTATTATTATTTTATATCAGTTTTCTAAAGTAATAAGTGAGACTGAATTCAATGATGGCTTGGTACACAGATGTCTGAATTAACTGGAGCTAGTAAATAACACAGCTCTCAATACCATGTTAGTGGTTTATAAAAGAGTGTCTTCTCAAATCCTTCCCTTGGCCCCAAGATTAGACAAACACAATTGTAAGACAAGGGTGTGGGAGAGGATTAGAAACCAAATCCCTCCATCATTTGCATTTCCACATTTAGAACTAAGAATTCTGAGATAAACAAATGGAGTGAATTTGGAAATGCTACATCAACTGCTTCCTCCTGTGACATAAATTGTGCAAGCTATCAGGATCTGCCTACCAAATGCTAAGGAGACATTTTCTCTTGGACACCAAAAAGGAGTAACATCTCAGGATGACTGAAAAATGCAGTCCCCCGGAAGATGGGTTGTCGTCCTTGCATACCATCTTACTTTTCACAGTTGTAGGCATTGAGTGCATCATTGGTATCATTGCGAATGGGTTCATTGTGGCTATAAATGCAGCTGAATGGATTCAGAATAAGGCAGTTTCCACGAGTGGCAGGATCCTGGTTTCCCTGGGTATATCCAGGCTAGTTCTCCAAATCTTCATGATGCTAGAAATTACCGTGCACTCAGCAGCTCCACGTGTTTATAGAGAAGATAGCATCTATAATGCATTCAGAGTAAGTTTCATGTTCCTGAACTATTGTAGCCTCTGGTTTTCTGTCTGGCTCAGTTTCTTCTACTTCGTGAAGACTGCTAACTTCTCCTGCTCCCTTTTCCTCAAGCTGAAGTGGAGAATCAGTGGGCTGATGCCCTGGCTTCTGTGTCTGTCAACATTTGTCTCCTTGGGCTACAGTATGCTCTTCTGCAGTGGCATCTACACCACTTACTGTAACAGTTCTGTGCCTGTCTCCCCCTCCAACTCAACCAAGAAAAAATTCTTCACTAAGACCAATGTGGTCAACCTGGCTCTGCTCTACAACCTGGGGATCTTCATCCCTCTCATCATGTTCATCCTGGCCGCCACTCTGCTCATCGTCTCTCTTAAGAGACACACTATACGCATGAAAAGCAGTGCCACAGGCTCCGGAGACCCCAGCATGGAGGCCCACGTGGGGGCCATCAGAGCTACCACCTACTTTCTCATTCTCTACATTGTCAACGCAGTTGCTGTATTTCTCTATATGTCCAACATCTTTAATGACAACAGTTCCTGGAATAGTCTGTGCAGAACCATCATGGCTGCCTACCCAGCTAGTCACTCAGTGCTGCTGATCTTGGACAACCCTGGGCTAAGAAGAGCCTGGAAGCGGCTTCAGTCTAGAGTTGCTCTCTACCTAAAAAAGTAAACTCTATGACCGACCCCATGAAAGCATCACAGCACCTGGCCTGGCTAGCTCTGCCTCTCCTTCACCCAGACCTCTCTCATCCCCTTTCTTTTCTTGCCCAAACCTGAGCTGATTCTTTCACCTGGTGTGGTTTTTGTAGAGGAGTGTGATCTTCATTTCTCTCTTTTGCTTCGTGGGCACAATCTTAGTGATGCCTAGTATATCCTCTACCTGAGCCTTCTATTTCTGCCTCCCTTGCTCTATATAAAGCAGAGATTCTAGACACTGCTCCAAATTAGAATCTCTAGAAGAGATTTTTGGAAATTCCAATCTAGGTCTGATTCTAGATCAATTAAGTCCAAATTTCTGGTGTTGGAATGTAGACCATTTTGTAAGTTCCCAGCAAGATTCTGATGCGTAGCCAGAGTTGATACAGCCACCAAAATACAGGCAGACTCTGCAGCCTGAGCTCTTGGCACCCTCTGCTTCCCCATCCACTTGCCCTCAAGACATTCAGAGGACCCAGGAAGCCTTCTAAGGAGCAGCTGGAAATGCATTTTGTCTCCATTCTCAAAAAATACAACCTGAATAATATGCAAATATCTATCAAATTTAACAGTAATAAAATACCCTTAAACCTAAAAAGCACTAAGAATTTTTCTATAGATAAGGTAGGGTCATATATTGCAATAAACATATATGGAGATGTGTGCAAGAAGGTCTTCTTTGTGGCATTGTTCACTAATGAGGAGTCTCATTTATCCAAAGTAAAATATTGTGTAAGAATTTTTAAAGTGAGACAATTGTGTATATCCTGAAATGAAAATATTTCTAATATATTGTCATGTACAAAAATCGAGGAGATATTTTATATTCTATTTATGTTCTTTTATGAAATATGCTTATGTTTCTTATGTGTATAGGTATGTATATGAAGTTTCTGGAAGAGGGTACCAAAATGATTAACAGAGGACTTCTGAACATGGCTGGCTAACTAGGGAGAAATTAAACATTTATACTACATTTTCCTGCATTGATTGAACTATTCAGAACATGTATGCATTAATTTCAATTTCAAAAGAATTTTATGTAAGTATAGTTCATATGCAATCTTATATTGGTTATATTAGTTTCAGGGGTACAATGCAGTGATTTGACATTTTCATACTTTACAAGTGATTTATATTGATGTTATTTATAAGAAAGAGAACTAGATACTAAGTTGGGAAGATTTGAGGGAGAAGACTGTATAAGTTGACTGACCCTCTCACTATGTTTTTATAAAAAATGCAAACCTCCCAACCCATGAATTAAACCTCTCACTAACTCCTATTTTCCATTTTATTCACTCACTCAAGGGCTGCCATGGAAAAGGCATGGGTGTTCAGTCCATTGACATATCTAAATTCTCTGTCACTCTCTTTGCTTCCCTTCATATTCAGTTTGGATTACTGGTTAAGCATTTTACCCATACCCTTAAAAATACTTTGGGTAACTACAGATGGAAATTATGTCTGAGATTTGCTTTAAGATAATTTTGCACAGGGCAAAGGTGTGAAGAGTAGAGAGGTTTAGATTGGTCATATGTTGATGATTTCTTTCAAACTAGGTCTCAGGTACATGAGGATTCTTTAGTCTCTCCATTCCAGGATATGTTTGAAATTCTGCTAGTATAATTGTATATGAGTGAATCATATATATATTTTAAATACTCCAATTTCCTGACCCTCTCCCTCTTTATCCCAAGCATATGGAAAATCCCACATCTAGATGAACTCGACTATTTTTAACACTCCACATTGACCTCCAAACAGCCTATTGTTACTGGAGGATATTTTATAACTGGATGAACCTACGTTCTTAGATTCATGCTCTTCAGCCTTGAATAAGTAACATCATTGGGTACTTCTATCTTGTATTTCCCTGGAGAAGTCACACATTAACTACCCTGAATGACTATCCCTCCAGTCCCCCTTCTCCCTGATTTATTCCCCACTGACAGAGCTGCCCTTACATTCTCTGACAAGTCACTAGGAGGACATCCCTACATCTTCCCATTAGCAAACCTATAAAGCCACCTAGTTTCCCCCATATTCCTATTTCAATAGAAGGAGTGCTCTCTGTGAAGAAGAAAAGTAGAAATGCTGTAAAGACTTTTCTTCTATATATATTTCCTTCCTACAAGTTCCATTTTTGTATGTTTTCATTTTCTATCTTTCATGATTGAGCTTTTTCTCAAATATCTGGTGGCCCCTGAATGTGAGCATTAAGAAGCTGACTGTGGAATTTTGAAATTAATTTTTTAAATGTTTTAGAATATAAAAAATATATTGAAGCAGATCAGTGAGAGGCATCTCAAAGGTAGCACATTCAAAGCTAGATTTGATACAGGGTGCAGCCAAGGGGGGGGCAAAAAAAAAGATTTGTAATGGTGTCCAGAATTCAAGGTGTATAGGAATATTGGAGAGACATATAAGATGTCCTCACTCCCCCCGCCCCAGGGGGAAGGGACTAATGGAGCAGGCCCATTGAGAGCTATTTTGCATAGCAACAGTTTTGCAGCTAACCTCTGGAATGATTATTTAACATATCTATAACCTTTAACTGGTTTAATAGATACATTAAATAGCTGTGGCCAAGTTTTGAGACAGGGAGAAGAGAGTGGCTTCTACTCAAGATGGAACCAGGGGCTGTGCTCCTGAGTGAGGGTGCCTGCGTGAGAGCTTGGAAAAGATGGGCTCCAGGACATGAGGCAATAACTGCCCAGGTGAAAGGAAAAATCACGCAGCTTTGCCAGAATGGAGGTCCCTGCAGCCAGGTGAAGAAGAAAGACACACACTTTTGGTGGAGTGTGAACCCCTGCAGCTTTGGTAGAAGTGGCCCACCTGGCTTTGGGGTGCTTCCTTTGGCCACATGGCCTGGAAAGCAGGAGAGACTTTGACTGGAACTGAGTACAAAGAACTTTTGTCAGTGGACCATGAGGGGGTACCACAGTACTTTGGATTAACTAGAGATCCTGCCTGACACAGCTGATGATACCAGTGGCCTGCAACACACACGTGTGCTCTTTTCCTGATTTATGGTACCCAGAGTTGGGACAGTGGGAGAAGGGAGCGCTGTGTGGGTGTAGGTGTATACCCTAAAGGACTTTGATATTTTAGTGGAGGCTTTAGGCCTGAATAGCATTAAATAAACATTTAGTTTTCTTTTCACGAATCTCTGGCATTGAGAGATGTCTTTCCAATTGGCAGCAGACAGAAGAGCCCAGTAGATATTATTATTCTGTCCTTGGGAGGGGCCCCTGTTATGTAGCAATATTTGGCATCCCTAGGTGGACCAAATATCACCCCCCCCCAGACCTCTTGTTCGGTAACAATTCCCCTTTCAGTTTTCTCCAACTTATGAATATTAAATAGAATTGCAATATTTATAAAAATGAGGCAAATAATAACATTAATCTCACAGGAGAGTCCAGAACAATAATTAAGATATGTGTTCCTGATAAATGACTGATACAAGATAATCATATTCATTATTAAAAAGAACCACATCAGAAATAGTAACTGAGCCTGGCTGGTGTAGCTCAGTGGATTGAGTGCAGGCCTGAGAATCAAAGGGTCTGAGGTCTGATTCCCAGTCAGGGCACAGGCTTGGGTTGCAGGCCAGGTCCCCAGTAGGGGATGCATGAAAGGCAACCACACATTGATGTTTCCTTCCCTCTCTTTCTCCCTCCCACCCCTTCTCTGTAAAAAAAAAATAAATAAAATATTTTAAAAAGAAAGAAATAGCAATTGACATTGGATTACCATCTGCAGAACTTAACCTGATAAATTCAGCAAATAAAACTTATTCCACCTTCTCTTTCTATCTGAAAAGAATTAAGTTAGATTTCTTTTGAAATCAAGGCACTTCATTTTCTTTTCAAAAAAGTGCAGAGACCCTTAAAGGGTCTCACCTTCTGAACTTCTACAAGGAAATCAAGGCAAAAGAGCACAATGCAAGGGAGACCTTGAAACTCTCAATCTAGGGAAGAGGTGCTGCGGGTCATTTGAATCTATTCGACACAGGTCCAGAACTTTGGGCTGAGTCATCACTCATGACCTGGAGTGGGAAGGGACACCATGCTGAGAGGAGAAGGGGTGAACTTCCTCCCCCACTTTATAACCAGCCTATAGGACAATCTGTAAACATGGGCACTTCAGGGGTAGGCCTTGCTGGGCCAGAGACAGCGTTCCTAACATGTGCCCATCCTTAAAAGCTACCAACAAGTAATAAGACATTTTGTGGACACCATGAAAGCCTTCCAGGAAGGAACATGACTGTTTCAGGTGTGAGTGTCAGACTTGCATCATTATTGTCACATTGTTATTTGATCCCTACAGAGGATTTTATTGTTGTTTTTTTAAATGTATTTGATATTCAAAATGATAGTATGCTTCCTTGTACCTTAACAAAGTAGTTTTGAATAATGCACCGGATGCTGAAAAAACTGGTAGGTGAACTCTGTAAATGCCTTTCCCTCTCTCATCATTCTCAGGCGCTGAAAATGTTAAGTCAATGACTACTGGATTTTGGCCACGGGCTGCAGAAAATGCAGCATTAACACCATCATTGAACCACCTGTAAAAGAATATTTACAGGAAACAACAGATTCCTCATCAAGGAGATCCCATCCATCTGAGTAACAGATTAGGGAAGTCAATGTCCCATGTCACAACTGCTTGTCACTATTTTCTGATAATGTTGGAAGGTTTTACTTTTTTGCAAAATAACCTGATTGCCAAAAAGCTGTCAATTAAAAGCATCACCACTCAGATTCTCATATATGGCTTTTTAAAATGAGATTGTCAATACTTACTTATAATGAGGAAGAGGGCTTGGCAACTAGTATCAAGTGCTCCATTTGCATAAGACCAGTTCAGGGCTTATCATCAACAGAACTTGTCTTTCTTTAGCACTTTCTTCTTTTTTAAAAAAATTATATCTTCCTCTCCATTTTCTATAATCTTACACCCCCAAAT